ATACTGGACCGACAACTAACTGCTCATCATCTGGCGTAAATTGGCAGAAACGTGACTTTTGTCAGCCAGTTTCCATGACCTTTTATTCTCGGAAGACTTCACGCCGGATATCACAGTCAAAGCGGACGCGCAACGGAGCGAAGAGTCCTTTACTTCCGCCTGTTCAAAATTTCATATTGATCATTAGAACGAAGAGGACATTGGCCATGCGCTAGCCGATACCAAACGCGGAATACGATGCACCCACGCTACATGTTAGTGGAACTTTTCTAACACTTGGGAACAAATTTACGTACTATGGAGGTTCTATCCCATGACAAAGTAGGATTAAAAACAAAACTGCAAGTCGAATCACTAAAACCGGTTAGGCCTCTCTCTGGTTCTTCAACTCAGTGTGGAATCATTGCGTCATCCTCCTTGAAAATAAGTAGAGGATTCTCAGAACTGTCGTCCTAACCACGCTTTTGCACAGGGCAGAGACGTGGACAGTATGCAGATATCAAATATGGAAACGGAAGCGCCTTCAACTACATTATCTCTAAAGAATTCGGAAGAAGAGTTTCAAGGAAGTGTTCCAAGATACAAAGCAATTAGAGAAAAACAGGCCTTCTCAGCTACTGCGCACTGCTTGAGTAGGTTCAACTACAGTGGAACGATCGCGTCATGAGGCTGACCAGCGAACTTCGGCCCAAGCGGTTATTCTTTGATGATATCATCATGTCTGCTCACAGGCAAGTTGGACAAACATGTCGACAAAAGGACACTCTGAAGACATCGAGCACCCAGAAGGGTCTTGTGCAAGATTGACAGGCTTGACTTTTCTCTGCTAAATGTCCGAGGTCAATCGGATTGTGAAAGTTAAGGCAAAGTAATTGGCCTGCAGAGCTCGAATGCCGCAGCTTAACATCGCGGGCACTCACGCAACCCAGGTATTCGCGATGTGAGCTGACATTTAGGGCAGGAATTAACTTCGTTGTTCACATACATATCAACTGTAATATCAACAAAAATAACCCACTCCCCACGCCACAAAACGTTATCACAGTCAGCATCATCACTGAGGGTTCCTCCCTCAACCGTCTTCATTGTCATTTCGATCCCTCTTTGCCGTGGTTTAACATATTCATGCACCTGATAACGATCATTTTAGCGAGATTCAAACGACGCCCGCCATCATCTCCAGAAATTCAGATAAAGTGGCAACCAGTTCATACTGCGATTATGCACTAGAATCACGCATCGGTCTGGTCCATCACCCAAGAATCCGTTGCAGAGTGAGTAGAGAACCAGTGCCCGGATCCACAACCAACCTCCACTACGCACGCCTTTCTTACCCATCCTGTCCTGGAACGTTCGTCCATTTTATTCACCTATAAGACCATGTGCACATAAATGAAAGTTTTCGGTAAAATAGCGCAGTTCAGGTCTCCCATTCATCTTATTTCTTTTCTTATACACACAGACACACTTAGCCTACCCATGTGCCTATCTGGTTACGCCACCATACACGCTAACTATTAGCAAGACATCACATATAATATAATTAGCTATCATTGTGCTGGGCGGAGCGGCGTATTTTTGAATACACACGTTTCTAACGGCTGGTTATTTGGAGTGGCAGACCGGAAGGTGTTTGGCACACGTGATCAAACCTTTCGCGCAACGTCAGCCATTGTGCCTAACCTCATCCTCAGTCGGCCACCAGGTTCAGACAGGCCATTGGTGCCTAAGAGAAAGAGTGAGATCGATCCTGAAGAATCTCTCCTGGTGGAAAACCGATGCAATCTTCACTATACAAAAATCTGACGCACTTGAACCTATCACGGCAATTCAAATGTTGAGTTGCAAGGCTGCCAGCTGTCTGAATAACTATCACGGTGACTAGAGCCACGGGCAGCCCCTAATCACTGCGAGCTTCAGGTCAAGTCCCTACTCAGAAAAGGATAATCTAGGCGCCCGTATTGGAGGACTTGCATTCTGTACAAAATGGAGGAAGGAGCTGGAGCAAAGTGGCAGCCAAACGAGATACGACAATGCCCCACACGCCGGAGCAGGCGTCCAAGTGTACTGAACGAGGCCGTGTTCGCGATGGCCTCGACGCTGATTGCCATTTTGGAAAGCTGATTGGTTGGACACCAGGCAGAGCCTCTCGGATTCAAGGACCGATCAGACCCGATTGAAGCATCATACCACAGTTCGGCCGTCGTCAGTGATGATGCCCACCGTGAGCTCCACAGTAGATTTGGCTCACGGATGGTGGCTTGCGCGTGACGCAGTTTATAATGATAGCAGACTTACTCTGCATCTACCGGCAACATCATGCGGAGCCTCAAAACGTAAGATGAACGACTGTCACTAGCGTCTATGCACAAGAATGCACCAGATAGAGGCGCTGCGTTGCAGCACTGTCTAACGAGGTTCGGAGTGTAATGTTGCTTTCTTAATATGGGCATTATGACAGTCTCACATATGTGAATCCCAAAAACCCCTGAAATAAACCAAATGTGTGTGGAAGTAGGGACCGCGTCATGGGTAACATTCGTAGCCGCGTTGCTTCATTGTACAGCCACTTCCGGTTGTCTTGACATTTTCTTGCCATAAAAACACTGCCGTTGTGAGATAAGAAAACGAGATCGACGCAGTGAAAGACTATTTCGTGGTTCAAACTGCTGCTGGGTCCACCGTGTGGAGCAGCTCTGAAGGTCGTCGCTTTCGACGATCAACTTATCAGGTTTGTGTGCGCATGTTTAGCCAATACGGGCTCTTACGCTAAGTCACATTTCAAAGTAATTAGGAAGACTGACGAAACCTGCTATCTTTGTACATCGGCAGTTCAACAAAAACGTCATGCGCATTCGAATGTTCTGCAAATCAAGGATCTGACATAGAAATAAGCCCCAAAAACTGTGGACGTCCGCAGCTTGTCAAAGTATGAGCAGGCTGAAAACGAAACGCAAAGCGACCTTAGTTAAACGCCGTTATCCAACCCCTTTTCATTTATAGGTAAAACAGTTCTCTGTGGCAAAAACGACGAACCAGTCAGCTCTAAAGTCTTGTTGTTATATCCATGCCCCTTGGAGCCGACAGTGTTTTAAACATGATTCGGCTAGGGTTACAATGTTGTTGCGCTCGTATTTAACAATTCTGCAGGGACTATTACTAGTAAAGCGACAAGAAATACTTCGCCATTACGTACCACCTTAAACTGTGTTTATGATTGAGTCATAACTAAACCCTATGTCCATTATCTGACGTTCCGCTTCCAAAAATCGTAGTTTATATCAAAGCTCTTTTTGGGCTCAATATATAATCCAGAGGGCGCCCGAAGAAGCGGACTTCTGCAATCCATCCATCCACAGTAAACTATAAGGGAAAACGACTGTGATCCCACATGGCCAGCATGCTCTCAGAATGTGGCTTTTTCAATCAAAACGGAGTTACGGTATGACAATAGATGCCGGTGTTTCTAACATCATTATCGGTTTTGATCTGAAAAGACAAACGGACAACTCGTTGCCAAAAACTGCAATCCTGTAAAATGCGGTATATTTTGTACGTGAAAAAGCTGAGATCTGAAAATTAGCATTCGCATAGTGTTTCTATCAGGTTCGGGCTCAAAATAGTTGATAGTCTTGCATCAAATTTTTTTTCTGTGGTAGACACATAAATTAGAGATGTTGTCAGTAGTTTTGTAGAGACGAAACTTCTCACAGCAAAGAAACGGGCTTCAGTAATGTACATTCTCATTAAAAACGTGTAGTTACCTTTCAAAAAAAATATTACACAGAAAAAGGCAAATGTTCGAGATATTCAAAAAAAATTGACAGTCCAATTTCTGTTCGTACAAGCATATGGCGAAGAGTTCAGAGGGCCTCCTTTCAGGAACCACGCCAAGTCAACTGCAAACAAAGCAATGTGTTTGGCCTTTTCACGAACACCGTGCATCACGAAAAACAATACTATCCTTAAGTTTTGTCGGCGATAACCAGAATATCTTTCTCATCATGTAAGTAAGTACTTAACCATACACTAGCCAAATAATTGCATGACTGACACACTGCTATTGTACTCATGTGTGACTCGTAGTGGCAGGCTAACTGGCACTTTTAGACGTATGCAGAAGTATCTGGGAAGAAGGTATGTCGATTCGCTAACAACCTGGGTCAAAAATTGGGCTATCACAATCGAAATGGAGAACGACAGTTCGACCGTCGTTGCCAACGATGTCAACTGTGTGCCCCACAGCAAGGTGAAGCAGATACGGTGACTGGCGCGTGAATTAGTTTATAGTTAATGTAGACTTGCGCAGCATCTACCGAACTCTCTCTTCCCCACTTCCCATTCGATCCGCTGTCAAGACAGGGTCAAGAAGACCGGAGGCGGCGGAGGGCGCAGATGGATGGCACGTTCGAGGCCGCACTATGGCGTCCCACTCCACACCCCCTGGTCCATACAGCAAGTGACCAGGTTTTTGACCAACAAAAACATCCTCCCAACAGGAGTCAGAAGGATGAGGATGACTGGGCAGACATGCCCACCATCTGTATACCCAATGGGAGCGCAAGCGCTTCTTCCGGCCGGGACCAGGTGTCAGAGAACTGCTAGCGCATACCAGGTTGCGAGAGCCTTTTGACTTTTTGACCTAGAAGGGCGACAAGTGGCTCTGCATTTAGCCTGGGCCGTCACATTCAAAGGTTGGGTAACTGTTATGACACGTCCTGGTACATTAAAGCACGTGGAGGGCGTATGCGCGCTCGACTCTTGTCCCCAATACGAAAGCGGCAGAGAAGGAGAACACGACCGGCCACGAAAAAGTGTTTAAGGAAACTGCAAGTCAAGACTAACTGGAAGTAACGAGTATTTATAACACCCTACTGTGGTTCGCCTGCATTCGGCCCAATGCACTTCGGGAAGAACACTCTAGACGAGCTGGTGGATGATGTTGATGTGCAGTGAGATGCTGGTGAGGGAGAATGTGATAGAGTGGAGCAGACGGTTGTCTACGGCGGGTTATCGTGAATGCTCATGTGACCTAGAAGGCCCATACGGTCGGTGAATGTGCGAGGGCAGTGTGGGCAGTTCAGTCGAATGCGTCTAGTGTTTGTGAGTGCTCCAGGCACTGATTCGCCAGTCTCCGTGCGATGGGTGCGCAAGTAACCGACCAGGACAATGTGTGAGGTGAAGGTGAGGTCGCAATGAGGACAGGTATAGACCAGGTTCTCATAATCGGTGCTGACAGTGGTGGCGTTGGTGTTTGTTGATGTGTCAGGAGTGTGTGTAGTGCTGATGGGCAGGGCAGGTCCCACAACGGCAAACGTTGAGGCGACGGTGGAGGAGGAGAAGAAGAAGAAGAAGAAGAAGAAGAAGAAGAAGAAGAAGAAGAAAAAGAAAAAGGAGGAGGAGAGGAAGGATGGTAGGGGTGGTTCGGGAGGCCGGTCAGTGCTAGTTGACGGCGTGGAAGGCGAAGGAGAGGTGGACAAGGGACGACGGTTGGCGCAGTCTGGGTGCTGCGGTTGGTTCGGAGGTGTTTAACTAGTTCCACTGGAGCCCGAAATGTCCATTGACATCGTGGGCACGTTAGAGGCGGTGAAGCGTTGGTGTTGTGAGGCGGCGGCGGCGGCATGTCTCGCGTTTGGTTTTGGTAGCGGTGATGTGGTTAGCTTCAAAGATTGCTAGACCTGTCTTCACTGTTCGCCCCCACGTAGGCCGGTTCCGGGCGAGGTCTTTTCAGTTGGCCAGGTTGATTTACAGGCTCTTCTGGGAGGTTTTCAGAGTATCCTTGTAGCGCCGGACTTCACCTTCTCGACGGCGTCAACCCGTCACAACATATCCATATAAGATTCGTTTGGGAAGCCTCTCGTTGTCCATCCGTACGACATGGCCGTTACAGTTGTCTCAGCATAGCGTAGATGCTGAGGATTCCCGTCCTCTCCAATACGTTCGTGTCTAGCACCCGGTCCTGCCACCACAGCAACGTCAGTAGGATGATGGCCTTGTACATTTTCAGTTCTGTGCTGAGTTGAAGACCGTAACAATTCCAAACTGTGTTTTGAAGACGATCGAAGGCTTGACTGGCCTTGGAAATCCGGCGGGCCACTTCATCGTCTAATTTGGTGCAGGGGGACGGTGTGATGTCCAGATACGTTAAGTTGTCCACCACTTGCAGTTGGGTTCCGTCCACGCTGATTTGCGGCGCATTGTGGGCAGTGTTGGGTGGCGATTGGTGCTTGATCACCATCTTCTCCGTGTTAATGATCAGGCCAAAGTTCTCGCAGGTGGCGGGGATGAGATCCATGCTCTTTTGCATGCCTCTTTCAGTAGTTGCATTGAAATGGAGAATAAGAAGATATAGGCAAGCACATTTTGACATCGGATGGCAGTCAGAGCAGATCCAGACTGCCATCGCTTGGTTTGATCAGCTCGGTGATTTTTATTTAAGAGCAATTTCTTCTGGTCCCTAGTACTACGGAGCGAAAGAAGAGAACAAAAGTAGTTTATGTGATTTTTTGTTGTCATCTATTCGTGGGCATATTTGTTCATACACGACTGGCCTGTGTTATGGTTACAGATCCTTTCTCACATAAGTTACGGTTGCGCAAAACCACAGAAAGGACAGTGGGTTTTCTGACTGTTTTTACCGTCTTATATTTACATATACCAAGTAAGGTCTGACATCCGCCTAAAGACAAAGTCAGTGAGCAATAAGTGTGCTGGATCCTAGACGACCTTTGACTTTGACAAAAGTTAATAGGCATTCTGGATTTGTTGGTTTCCACCTCCAAAAAATGAATCCGTGGTCGAAAAAAAAACATAGACGGCCTTTGGTTTTGAAGTGATTTCTTCTGATCTGCTCGTCATCCACAGTTCATTCGCCGAACAAAATATGCAAGTGCGGACTCAAAGCCTACGTCTGTGCGTGTTATTCACGCACGCGCCTGACACCCTCCCTGCCTCCAGCCGCTGCCAAATCATGCCTCGTAGTGCCTTGGTAAGTAACTAGTTTTGTTTTCGACTCAGTCAGCTCACCATTGTTTCAATCTGCCTCCGCGTCGAACAAACATTTATTTTCTATTCGATTTTTGCTCATCGTTCTCCTCCATTCTTTAGAGTAGGCGAAGATTACAGGCCGCTTAAAGAGAGATTAACGGATGTAGTGCCCAAGATTCGAATTTAAATAAACACTTTTTCATCATGATCCTGCATAGTAGCATTAACCTCTGGATTGCTTTAAAACTGCGACACCCGTTATCTGAAAGTTAACCTCAGGTGAAGGCAACTTCCCCCTCTGACTAGAAGATTTAATATACTCTTCGTGGATTACGCCCGTCTAGACTGATTGGCACCGTCCTCCTTTGGCTTCCCAAACTGTCCTTCGTTTCCTCCGTCAGTATGTGATGTTGTGGCGGCGATAAGGGGCACACATCGTCTGACTCACCGTCTCTAGTGGATTTGGCGGTCCAGCCCCAGTTAGTTGAGACTCTTGTGTTGTGCAGGCAGGTCCGTACTCTCACATTTGGCACGACTGTTAGTGCGTGAACGATGCCGCGTTACCATTATTAGTCATGTAGCAAGCGGCAGAGGAGACCGATTCTCTCTCACTCCGTCATGTGCACATGTGCCACAAGAGCTCTAGAATCTCGCTGAATGAATTGATTCGGCAAACGCCGTTGACAGTTGCCTACTAGGTAGGCGAGTTTTGAGAAAAGTTTTATTTGAATGCTACCTAATTTTGGGAAGAGCTGAAGCACTGGGACAAGTCGCAATAAGGATTCTAGTTTAAATTTCCGTAGCCAGTGAGGCGTATATCCTTTGTCTGCCTGAAGTGGTGTAGCCGGCACTACAGCCTTCGAGGACACCAGTGGGACTAACATTGAGAATGGAGTCATGAATGGGACACTCGGATAATAAAACCGTTTTTGAGCCTGCTAAAAATACTGGCATAAATCAGAAGACCTCAACAAATCTACCAACTGCGATGCAACCGTTAACAAGAAGTATATTAGGCCCAGCACTGGAACTAATAGGAGATCGCAATAATTCTGCGATAGAGGAGTAGACCATCAGCGGTGCAATTGCACTGCGATTGAAATGTCAACAGAGCCTAATAAGCCCACCAATAAAACTATAACAAAGCTATCAAAAACCGTCAACGAAATAAAGCCTAAACAGTATTATTCCACTCATTTGATGTCGTATTATATGATCTAAATACAAAGAAGGTGACTGCAAAAATTATCAAAAAAATCACAATCAAATTATACTACCCTGTTTGCCTGCCTTCATAGTACGACCATCGGGTCAAGAAAACTAGTTTAACTACATCTGTAGCATTCTCCCTTTCAATCCTTTTGTTTATTGTTCTGCTAGTTCACACAAGTGTCCCCTTCATAAGGTTCGCCGACAAATCTTTTCTTCTCTGGTTAACGCAGACGCACGTCCATGAGCTCAAGTCGAGCATGAAGTGCTGCCCTTGAGGAGCAGCGGCATCGAGTTCACGGCCTCTTTGAGCATGTGCGCTGTGGTGGCCACTTGACTGAGAGCTGGATACGGCGATGTGAACATTTTCTTAAAACTGACCCTCGGAAACGGGAAACTCGCGCAGACTGAAAACGCTGGCTGAGAGACGAGATCTAACCGCTGGCCCTTCATAATCGGACCGAATATATTTTACTCCTAAAGTAATTAAGCCCATCTGGCACTTATACCGGTTAACGGAACTCCCCCGCTTTCTGACTCACAGCGGCTTATTTAGTTCGGAGTAATTATTCCACTGCGACAAAAATAGGCCCGGTTTGAGTTTGAAGAAGGAAAGATTAATTAATTCACACAACTGGCAAACGGGCCTGCTGGGGCTCATTAATGAAACCTCCATTGCTAATTTAAGAGGTCTATCGGTGACTTATCCCAAACAACAAGCAGCCGCCGCAGGGAAATAAAAGTGCTGCTGTTTGTTTGTGATGTCGAAGATTATCATAGAGAGTAATGCAAGCAAGATGCAGGTCTGCTTTCACTATGTTATGTCGCATCTCATCCGCTGTAAACTGATAGCTTGTGCGACCAGTGTTTTGTACAAAATTAGTGTGTACGTTTTGTTTTGTATTGCCTCACCAGTAGAGAGGACGCACTGCGAACTGCAATCCGCCGAAGACTCTAAACGCGATTGTTTAAAAAAACTGTCAACTGCAGTCTACTAAATGTAGAAACTTCAAAGCAACCGGTAACCGGACCCGTATCTGCTTTTGTCTCTGATGATGGATTCGAGCAGGAATCCGAAACGTCAGGCTAATAAAGCTCTTGTTCCAGCGATCGTATTTCCTTCTTCAAGCAACCGGCAATGCCCACCTTCGAATCAGCGAGCGAGGTTCTCACGTGACCTGAGACCGGCAGCTCACGTGGACAGAGTTTGACGTAAAATTGTTACTGGCCGACTTAATCAGGGTCCAAAGCTCAGATGCGCCAAAACTTGGAGTTAGCTTATCATGGGATGGTTATGAGAAGTTAATCGGAACGATCCATTTCAACGCTTCTAGTCTTTATCAGTAACACTGGCAAAATTTGCACAGCCAACGTTGCATTTTACAGGGTATAAAAATGGTTACTTTTGATCGTTAGTTGCTACAGCCATATTCGGAAGTAAAAAAGGAAACAAGATGTGCGACAGACAGGAAAAGAGGTACAAACACCTTCTACAAAGGTGTATTTACGGTTTCCATCTGTACTATTCACAGTAGAGCATACTTCACTTCCAGTTCAGCTAGGAGGTGTAGTGACATGAAAAAGCGTTTCGTTTTAGGGCGCAAAAAATACGATCTGTAACAACTTTGGCACAACTTCCCGATGTCAGTTAGTCGTCAGGCTGCGTTCTTGCGGCTACTTTGTTTCTTTTAGCTCCACTCGCTATAGACCGGTTTATATCTTGCATTGGTAGCCCCGTGTCGTTCATAACGACTTCTTTTCATTTCTGTGCTTAACTATTTCCATTCTGATCCATCCTTACCCTATCTTTTTATTGATCTGATTATTTTAGCTAGACTCTACTTTCTATCCACGCTGCCTCACCTTTTCAACCAGTACGAGCGCTTCCCTTCACTCCCAGTGTCAACGCGCCAGTCATCTCCCCAATTATCTGACCGCTGGCTGGCATCGGCTAGTCATGTCCAAGGATTCTACCAGTTAGCCGATTGCCGGCATTCACAACGTTGACTTTTCAGTCTAGCGGCTTGGCGACATCGCGTTGTGACTGTGCCGTAGAGAATCCCGTTTCGTCCTGCGCCAGATTTCAAGAGGGCGTACGAAATTTCACTATATTGCGACAGCATTTCCACTGGATATCGCCGCAGACCTTCGCGGCGTCATCGATTGCCCACCACCCACAGCTCTGCTGCAAGGCACAACTCTAAGGACTTTGATTCAGCTGTGCCCCTCCCTCCTCAGCGTGTTACTCTAATTTCATAAGTTTATTCTTACCGAACGTATAACTATACATGTAAGACTGGGGTACAAACAGAAGACCGCAGGACGAACGTTAGGGGCTCAGTGATAAGCCGAATCCCTCGCTGATGCATCAGGCAGCAGCAAAACACTTAAAGAAAGTGTTCGGAATTCTATCCGGTATTTACAACAGCTTGGGATATGGTTACATAATTTATTACATACGAAGTATACTACTGCCATCCTGTCAAAAACGTCTGGCCAAACCCAAAAAGTGTGTTCGTGCACAAATTTCTCACGGAGTCCAGAATCTCACTTCAAAAAGATACCGTACGGACCAGAAACGATAGGAAACGCTTAGTAGTCCACTGATGAGCCAAACCTCACACTTGCGTCAAGCTGAAACAAAAAAGTCGAGCTACGTGTTTCGGTTTTAGGACAGTACCAATGTTTAGAATTGAGGTTTCAAAACATGCTACGTGCAAAATATACTACAAATAACCTATCAAGATTGAGCTTAGGTTGACGGGAATCTACTCGAAATTCAATAAAAGGACGGTAAAACTAATGAACGATTGACTATGCAAGCTCAGGTTTTCACTACTATAGCATGTCTGCGCATTTGATTTTGGTGGGCATGTTATGTTAGGGTTACGTTTCTGGCTAAGCATAAGAAAATGACTAGATTAGGGTTAACGTTAGGTTGTAGATTAGGGTCAGAGAAAGGGTTAGGGTTACGTTTGCGGGCGGCTTACCTTCTTACTCAATTTGGCCTTCGTTAACCAATATGCCTGGACTACCTTTTTTCTCGCTGTTTGCTCGGCACGCCGTTGAAGTAAGAAAACAAATGTTTGGCGGAAATGC